TTGGATATCCAGATCACATGGTCTCGGACCGAGGCAGGCAGTTCATATCAGGAGCATGGAAGGCATTTGCAGAGCAAATGGGTGTGAAGCACTCACTTAGTACGGCTTACCATCCTCAAACTGATGGTCAGACAGAGAGAGTCAATCAGGTCATAGAGCAATACCTCAGGATGTACTGCAACTATGAACAGGATGACTGGGCCAACCTGCTGGACACTGCAGCCTTTGTATACAACAACATGGTCCACAACAGCATTGGTGTCTCACCATTCTTTGCATGCTATGGATGGAACCCCAAAGCTCATCCTGACATCCCTCAACGACTAGGAGTCAATGATCCAGGTCGCTTCGAGTACCTCATGGATGGAAAGGAGCGTTGCAAGTACCTCCAGGAGCAGATCAGAGAGGCACAACGGAGATCAGTAGACCAGTATAACAGGAAGCACAAGGACATCGAGTTTAAGGTGGGTGATATGGTCTATATCAACTGTCGAAACTGGAAGACACGGAGACCCACACCCAAGTTAGACACCTGGTTTGCAGGACCCTACCCAGTTCAGGAACAGGTAGGATGCCGAGCTTATCGAATCACATTGCCAGCAAACCTTAGGGTGCATGATGTGTTCCATGTCTCCATGCTCGAGCCAGCAAGAACAAGTTCTCTTCCTCAACGTGCTGAACAGCCCACCATACCATCACTTCCAGATGAGGACCTCGACTTTGAAGTCGAAGCACTCATCAACAAGCATTCACACAATAGGACTACAGAGTACAAGGTGTTGTGGAGAGGGTACTCAGAGGAAGCTGCTTCATGGGAACCAGTAGAGAACCTCAACTGTCCCGACCTCATCCAGGAGTATGAGGTGTCGGAGGGGGGACGAGTGAGTAGACAAAGTAGAGAAAGGAGGAGAGAACAGGAGGAGTAGAGAGAAGAAGAGGAAGGAGGATGATGTTGAGAGAAGGAGGAAGGATGATGTTGGCGATGTTGTCAAGGAGGAGGAGGAGGAGTCAGCATGGACCAGACCAGAGCATGCCTCGATGGAGCTCGGCTCTTAAGAGGGGGGTAGTGTCATGGGCCTGGATGCTCAAGAAGCAGGAGGGTCACGGGTTCATATGGAAGGAGCACAGGTATCAAAGATCTAGTCGAGATCAGTAGAGAGCATGGTTGTAGTGCAGTCTCCATGGAGACCATGGACTCCTACGGACTCACATGCAAAGAAGGGCCAAGCACAGCCATGAGGAGGACCAAGCTCAAGGAGCAGGCACAGCCACGAAGAGGACCAAGCTCAAGGAGCAGGCACAGCCACGAAGAGGACCAAGCTCAGATGGTTACCACTCAGGGGCTCGAGAGACAAGAGTCAAAGGAACTGTCACTGGTCAAAGGAAGAGGAGCAGTGTTGAAGGAGTTGACACCAGGTCATGAGGAGGAGGAGCAGTGTCAAAGGAGTCGACACCAGGTCATGAGGAGGAGGAGCAGTGTTGAAGGAGTCGACACAGCTCAAGAGGCACAGGGGTGCCAAGCAGGAGAGGCCCCTGAGCAGTACTCGATGAAGAAGGTACTCTCTGGAGAGAGAGCAGGAGCAGCATCGCTGGCGATGCTGAGAAGAGGTATATAACCATGCTTTCTCATCATCAATAGGTCGAGTGGATCCTCATCCACTCTACTCACCATAACTAGTTATCACTTCAGCATAAGTATATATTAGTTTCAGTCAGCATAGCAGCAATCCATCAAAGGTTGCTCCTCATCGTAGTGTGTGTGTTGTATCACCACTACCTGACGTCCGAAGGCGCCCATAGCAGGTTAGCGGTCCGGATCAAGATAGAACTGAAGGCAGTAGTCCACTGCGGTCCGGGGATCACTTCAAGCATCAAGTCAACACACTGGACACTCGTGTTGACGCCACCAACCTTATCACCAACACCATCAACCTCATTATCATCGACATCACCAATCTTATCACCAACACCATCAACCTCATTATCATCGACATCACCAATCTCATCATCAACACCATCAACCTCATCATCATCAACACTCACGCCAGACCTTGGTGTCATCGTAACATTGATATTGATCGTGCCGAGCTACCCCTGAACAGAGTGTCCACAGAGGTCAGCCGAAACCTACGATAGTATATACAACGAACACCACCTGTTGTCACTGCACAACTTGATAGTCACCGATACCGAGACAATAGCTGTTGCACAGTTTGATAGTCACCGAGTATCTCGACAGACCGACCTGGGTTTCAGGCGCGAGACCCCTGACACACTGCTCCTGCTCTCTCTCTCTAGGGAGTACCCTCTTCATCAAGTACTGTACAGGGATCTCTAAGGAGGCCCCTCCTCCATATCAAACCTTGTCCCTTCTGTCTTTCCTGAGCTGTGTTGACTTCATTGACACTGCTCCTCCTCTTCATGTCCCTCTCACCAGTGTCCTATACACAGCTCTCCTTCCTTTGACTGGCGACAGTTCTCTTCTACTCCTGTCCTGTGGGCCCCTGAGTGGTAACCAACTGCATGTCACTGAGCTCGGTCCCTCTCACATGTGAATTGTCATACAGACCTCCTTACTACTGATCTCCACAGAATCTGCCACATGATCTCGCTTACTGCAGATTCTGGTGGGATTCATGATATTGATGATGCTCGTGCCGATTTTGCTGCAATCTGCCATAGAGCTGATTCTACTACCGATCTTGGTGAACTCTGTCACAGCTCCTACAATCTACCTGATTCCACGATTCCTGTGCTACCTTCATATGAACTTCGGTCTTTCCTCGTTCTGTGCACCCAGACCCATGACACAATGCACTCAATCACTGTGATAGTCTCCTGATTGCCTGGCTGTGACCTGAAGTGCTGATTCTTCCCATTCTCCCTGGGTACAATGATGTATCAGCATTGACTTTGTCCAATGAGAAACCCAGTCTTGTCCATGTTGAAGATGTTTTTGGGTAGGATCCTATACTTGGCAATAGTCTTCTCCAAGACATCAAAGTATGCTTTGACAACTGATGGATCACTAGTGGCCTGTACCCTTGAAGCATCCATCTTGTGAGAGTAGTAGCTTCTGAGTTCTGGATGTCGCTGCTTGAAAGCAGACACCCAATTAGGTCCAAGAGTAGCATCATTGTTGTTGGTCCTCTGCCTGAGAAGTTGTTCAGCCAACTGTCTGAGATTCTGTGGTGTTACTGGGAAACCATAGTGAGCCTGCTTCTGTATATGTTGGACTAAGAGCTCTTTGGCCTCTGGGGGTATAGCCTGCAGATGTTGAAAGGCAGCAGTGCAGCTCTTGCACCCTTTGCTGCAATCCCAGAGAGTGTTGTAAGGGACATTGTGATGCTCAGTGGCAGCCTTCAAGTCTTTGAATTGACCCTTCTGGAATGCTCTAAGAGCTTCCTGGATCTCATGCTCCTTCTGGTCCCTGTCAGTCTGCAGCTGGGCTTTTGCAACCCTCTTCCTAGGTGAGATGTTGACCATTGATGTCAAAGTGGTGTATGTTGAGCAGTGCTGACAAGAAAGGAGTGTATGGAGATGAGATCAAGACAAGTTCAAGATGAGAAAAGTGTGAGAATCATAGTGGAGCTGCTGCCTCAAAATTTCAAGATTGAGAGGGGGACTTGGCTGTTTCAGCAATTTTGAGTCCAGAAACTCCCAAGTCCCCTGGCCACTTCCAATCCAAGACCTACATGAATTTGACATGTATGTGAACTACGTTATTACAATTCTCGGCGAAATATGTAATAGAGCCGTCTCTATCACTTTCCCACTTGGAACTGCAGTATTGGTTTTGCTATTGCAGGTTTCGACTGACCACTGTGGACACTCTGTCCAGAGGTAGCTCAGCACAATCAATAACTGATATGAATTGGTACTGACACCAAGGTCTGGTGTGAGTGACTAGATTGAAGATGCTGACACAAGTGTCCAGTGTGTCGACTGTATGCTTGAGGTGATCCCCAGACTGCAGTGGACAACTGCCTTTGGTTCTATCTATATCTGGACCGCTAACCTGCTATGGGGTGCCTTTGGATGTCAGGTAGTGGTGATACAACACATGCACTACAATGGAAGCAATCTACTTGATTGCAACTGTGCTGACTTAAACTAATGTATACTTATGCTGAAGTGATAACTAGTTATGTATGGTGTAGAGTGGATGAGGATCCACTTGTCCACCTATGATGAGAAAGGATGCTTATATATATCATTGCAGCATCACCTGTGACACTGCTCCAGCTCTCTCTCTCCAGAGAGTGGACTCCTTGTTGAGTACTGTGCAGGAGTCCCTGCAACATCACTCCTGTCCTTCTTGAGCTGTGTGTCAACCTCTTTGGCACAGCTCTTTCTCCTCATGACCTATATGCCAGTGTCACCAACACAGCTCTCCTTCCTCCTACCTGGTGACTGTTCTCCTGACTCTCATCTTGTGAACCCCTGAGTGGTAACCAGCTGCATGCTTCTGGACTTGGACCCCATCTTGGCAGAGCTTGGTCCTCCTTGCATGTGAAGTTGTTGAATGATCATCCTTACCACTGATCTCTGCAGAATCTGCCACATGATCTCTTCTACTACTGATCTCAGTGGAATTCATAATACTATCCTTGTTCATGCAGATCTTGCTGGGATCTGTCATAGAACTGTTTCTACCACAGATCTCAATGAACTCTGCTGCAAATCCCATGATCTGCCTGATTCCATGATTCCTGTGCTCCCTTCATATGAGTTGATGGATCTTCTTACTTCTTGCACATCCAGGCCCATGACATGTCAAACCTTACGGTATGCCACTCGTATACAGTGTGGCCATGGCTGGGAGCTCACCAGCGACTCTCCCACGAGTTAGGCAATCTCACATTTCCCATGTCTCCAGTCCCGCATGTGGTGCATGCACCTGGCAACCAGACACTGAAACACAACTAAACTTGCATAATTGAACGGAAATGCTCGCAGCTTGATTATTTTTTTTTCCCCCAAATTTCCTGGGTTTTTGTATGTCGACGCACATTTCGCGTAGGGAGAAAAGTGATGCCGAGTGTCAGAGTGTCTCAGTTAATGCAACTACCGCTTTCCCGCAGACGATCATCACCGTGTCTCTCGCTGATCTTCCTAGACGTTTGGCTGCTCATCGTACTCAACAAGCCCGTGGGCCCCCCTTCCGCTTGGCATCATGCAGCGGCTCTTCTCTCTCAGCCGCCGAAAGTCCTCCCTTTCTCATCTGGACTGCAAAGCCATTCGGTCACCGCGCTGCGTTTTGCCAAGAAGGTCTCAGACCTCCGCCCACACCATTCGAACCCCGTTCTACAGAGAACGCCGAAGCATCAGCATGGCAATGCATGATATGGGCGCAGGGCCCATTGCTCGCCTCCATTGGTTTCATGTCGGAAGCTCTAAAACCTGCTGTTTGCACGTCGTCTGAGACATAGCCGCCAACAGGCTCAACTTGCCAGTAGGGCTCCGCGACCAATGTATGCAAGGTTAAACGAACTACCGACGGTGTTCGAATGTCCACACCCTCTAAGGTTTTCTCGAACGAGCCACGAGTTTACGACGGCCTTTCAATGAGGTTTCAGACATGAGTTTTTATGACCCCAAGGATATATGCTCCTCCCCAATTGTCCTCGCCCCTCAAAGTTCCCATCAAGTTCAACCTGCGTTGGACCTTTTCGCCCAAGTGCATGCTTTGATCCTGAAGTGAAACAGGGCAATGAAGCGAGCCGGACCGTCCTTTGATCCGTGTTCCCAGGTAAACCGAGTGGAACTGAAGCTGCATACAGCCTCCCGACGTACTGTGCGAGTAACACAGTCGTCAGTTACGTTGCGAAGTAAGCGACGATAGCTCGATAGAGAGTGCCTGTGCGGCCCGCAGCTGTAAGACAGAGCAAGGGAAAGGTGTAAAGCATTGTAGACCCTCCCACTGACAAGTCGATCTCGCCAGCCAAGTGCTTTCAGAGGAAGTCATTGTGCGAGGCGAGAGGAAGCGGACCGATTGTCACTCTGTGCAACGATCCTGCTCTGACGGCAAACGACGGCCACGCTCAGAGGGCGATGCGTACAAATCTAAGGGAACTCAAATACACACAAAAAATTGGGGTTAAATGAAAAGAAATGAAAAGAAAAGAAAAGAAAAAAAAAAAATCAAAAAATCGAGGGCGTGTCGATGACGAGGGACAGTCCTCATTCACGAGTCCATAGCGCGGCTGTACTGGTCCAAAGCAGCCATGTGACGATCTGTTGGGAGGAGGAGAAGCGCTAGTGTTTACCACCAAGATCACCAACCCAACCTTGCGCTAGCAGCGGAGTACCGGAACAAGACCGGCAAGGACAAACAACAAGACACTTTCTCTTTTTTTTTTCTTTTTCTTTTTCTTTTTCTTTTTCTTTTTCTTTTTCTTTTTCTTTTTCTTTTCCGTATTCACAGTTCTTCCTTTTTTTGGTTCTTTTCAGATCATTTTCAAGTTCTGTCAGGCAGGCTCAGGAGGAATCATGGCATACACCTCTTCGATGCAGACCAACCTCGACGAGGGTTCTAGGCGTCGGCAACTGTCGCTGAACCCTAAAACATAACGCTCCAAGTCTTCCAGCAAGGTTCTTGGCGGGCGCAGATCCAGACTGGATGTTACCGCTCCTGCCCCATCGCGTCCATGTAGCTCCTCGTTTTTGCAAAAAGGTCTCGGCTCTTTGGCGCAACACAATTGTACCTAAGAGTCAACGACAGACGCAGACAAGGCGGACCAGTTAGCATGTCCATCAGTGCCGCTCTCGTGAGCGAAAAGAAAAGGTACGAGACCAGAACTGCTGCCATCCTTTGCTCTTCAGACTAGACTAGCTCTGTGAGCATGCAACCTCTCACCATGTCTCCTCGCTCGTGTCCTTGCAACGCCGAAGGAAAAAAAAACGGCTTCCCGTCGGGTCTCACTTGCCGGACCACGTATTTGGCCATCTGCTTATTGCAGTGCAGTGAGGAAAGAGACAGTCATCTTTTCTATAAGGACGTTGCGCATGCTGATCATTCCTAGGCCTCCTGCCCCATCATGGGTTGCCGAGATGGGTCTCCTGCTCTTGCGGTGGATTCAGGAACAAAGTGAAGCTGCAAAGCGCTCACATGCAGTACCAGAGCAATCACCACTTCCATTCATTGTCCCTTGAGCCAGAGCACCTTAACCCATGACAGACGCACACAGGCATGTCCGCAAACCCGCCCTCTGCAGAAAGCCGAAATAATGGTCGAGTTCCGCAGCAAGGCTACGAGACTGTACCCTTCTCAGAGAAGACGATGATTGAGAGCTCTATGCAGTTCAAGTGCTGCTTCTTCTCAAGTGGGTCTCACGGAAGCTCCCTACAATGACTTTTCCTCCCCTGCTGGGCTTGCCTCCTCGAGAATCAATCGCTTATGCGGCCCTCCCAAACCGACCCTACACGAGTAGGTCGATCCTTTTGAGGGGCTCGTTGACCTTCTTCTCATCTATAAAAGAAAAGGTTTTGACATCCTATATCCCCTCCTTCTCTCATCAACAACAAACAACTCCTCATCATCCCTCCACTACTCACACTCTCCTTCTTACCCCATATACCTCTCTATTCAAAATGGTTCAGATCCACACCATCGCTGCCGCTGCCGTCATCGGCGCTGCCACCTACACCTCGGCTACCCCCGTTGAGCGCGCCGAAGCCCTCGAGGCCCGCACCTTCGGCATTGCCAGACACTTGTTCGAGAAGCAGGAGCGATACTGGAGCCGCATTGCCCCTTGGAACCACGCCTCGATCCCTTCCTTCACCTTCGGCTGCTCGGCCCCCGGTATTCCTGTCTGGACAGGACGTGACAAGAGCCAGTGCAAATGGTTCTGGAACAAGTGGACTCCATTCTGCCAGAATGGTAATCAGCCCGCCCCGCAGCCCTCCACCCCCCAGCCCGGCACCGACACCTGCGTCGATGGCTACCAGCAGGTCTACAACAACTACCAAGTGGTCGCCGAGTCCGGCGTCTACCAGGGCAAGACCGTCGGTGCTGCTACCATGGACAACGACAACTACCTCACCTACCTCCTCGTCTCCGACCTGGACAAGTGCCTGCAGGCTTGCGACGACACCAAGGGCTGTGTCTTTGTCAACCTCTACCAGGACAACGCCGACCAGCCCTCGGACGTCAGCGGGCTGCCCCCATCCGTTCAGCCCAAGTTCGTCAAGGGCAACCTCACCTGCGCTCTCTACAAGGCCTGCTCCGGCACCGACAAGGCCAACAACTACGGCGGTCAGCAGGACCCTACCTTCATCACCGATTCCAGGGCTTACTGTAAGGGCGGCAAATGCTAAGCACATCCTCCTCCTCTCTCTCACCTTCACACATCCGTTCTCTCCACTACGATTGTCGATGCGATGAAGTCTGAGCCTCCTTTGTCGTTCCGATCAGAGATTGTTGGTTTGTCTCTCGCATCGTCTCGGTTGCCTCTCGTATAGCATTGTTTGTCACTCGTTTACCTTTAGAATCGACCTCTTTCCACACACTTGTCCAAGTTTGTACGCCTGTTCTACTGTTGCAGGATAAGCAGTGTAGGTGAGAGTATGCACGGCTTCAGGCCCGAGTGCCTTTTAATAGCGAAGAGAAGTTGATGGGAGTGAAATGGCAGTTGCTTCCCCACCTGGAAAAGGCATTTCTTTGTTAAGTCGCGAGTGCTAGCACTCTTTGTTTTTGTGGCCCGTGTCCCTTTATCCGTGTTCCTTTATCCGTGTCCCTTTATCCGCGTCCCGAGTTTCTGCCAAAAAAGTTACGGACCCTTGATGAATCGAGCTTCTTCTTTCCTCCACCATATTCCCAATCTTTCCCCTTGTATCCACCATGCAGCCACTCGACCAGGAGGAAGTGCGAATTGACGAAGCCAGATTTATCAACGTTCTCGAGGCGCACGCTAACCTGGTAGCCTCTGCGTCAAGTTCAGCCGATGATGCCGAGTTGGAGATCGAAATGTACGAAAACGTCAAACGGTACCTTACACGCCTTGGCAAGCGTATGGCTGAGGATCCAGAGGACCGTCCCATTTTTGTCAAAAATGGGTTCTTCAGAATGGTGATCAGGTCGCTTGCTAGCTATTATCCTACTTTTGAACGGGCTCAAGCTGCTCGTCCTTCGCCATCGGCAGACGGAGATGAGGCAGCGTGGAGGACAGAAACGGAGAAGAAAGACGACCTCTACCACCGCATCTCGATAGTGATGATGCTCTGTATGCGTCTATTGCGAAATGTCATGGCAGACAACCCCGAAGCGCAGATAGAGGTCTGCCAAAAATTTGATCGCCTGTTGCCCTTCTTTGTCAACATCACACGCTTCCACAATCTGAATGACCCCGACATGGTACCACTCTGTTGCACAGGTGTACAGATGCTATCCAACCTCATCACTAAGAACAGCATCGTACAGGATGAAATGTGGCCGCGCATTGTCACTACCGATAAGGACGAGGAGAAGCTCGTCCTCAAGTTCCTTTCGTCTGCCCACACAGCAACGTCGAGTGCAGCCCAGGTTCTCCTTATCAACTTCTTACGCGCCCCCGACTCAAACGGCAGCACCTATCGACGGTGCTACGAGCTGTGCACCAGTCCTCAAGGTTTACAAATTCTGCATTCGCTCTTGAGCTCGTCGCAAAGCATCATGCTTCGTATTGGTGAGCAACTCAAAAACCAACCCGAGTTCGATGCCGAGTGGGAAGGCTTGGAGGACTCGCTCGGCTTTATCTGGACTATCTTCTCGGTACTGTTCGATCAGGGCTACAGCTCGCTGCTCGTCTCTGCCCTAGCACCAATGGATGCGATCTCATCGTTATCCAACCCTATGGACGAACAGCTGATTACAAATTCCCAAGTGATCCTGCTAAAGTGTATCGACCTTTGGTTGCATGCCTACCATCTCGACACTCGGTCCTGTTGGTCTGAAGGATCAATTGGAACTTTTGCGCCAAAGCTGAACCTTGACTTGAATGCAAACGAGGACGCGGTAAAGGGAGGCGGACTATCGGGGCTTGTGGACCATTTCATGCGTCTCTCTGCCTTTGCCCGCGGTGCGATGGCCAGAGGGATTGCAAAGGAAGCAACGCCAGAGGAAAATCAGCCTCAAGATAGACGATTGATCGCAGTCCACGCTGCATTGCTGCTGTTGCTGGAGTGCTTCATGTCGATCAACATGTCTGCTGATGGCTGGAGTGATGGCGCTCTCGAGCAAGAAGGAGAACAGAGCTTTGCGAATCTCTCACGCACTCTCTTGTCGGAGATGAGAGGGAACGAAGCATTTGTAGAAGAGTTGGTCGCACTCTTAGATCAGACGCACAAGTATGCGCCGGCGCTTTCGCCGTTCCGTCCGGACAAGGAGGCTAACGGGACATCAAGCAATAGTTCTGCGCACAAGGGACGCAGGCCGTTGCCACAAGGCCACGCATATTCATCGACAGGAAAGGCAGCACAAGAGGGCAAGGACAAGCAACCAGCGTATGGCTTCGATCATCTCAAGCGAGACATCGTGCGCGTTCTGGCATCTTTGGTGTACGCCCCGACGGGCAACTACAGAGCTTGGGGGAAGCCAAGCAAAACATTCGAGTCCCCGCTCACTAAAACCCAGATCCGTCAAGTTCAGGATCTGGTCCGAGAGAAAGGAGGTCTCTTCCACGTTCTCAATATGACTGTTCTAGATGAGCGCAACCCTTGTAAGTGTCATCCTCTGTCTCCTTTATGCTTTGTTCAACTCGATACTGACAACTCCGTCTTCCCATTGAACAGACATGCGAGAACATGCCATCTTCGCACTGCGATACTTGCTCGCCGGCAATCAAGAGTCGCAAAACCTGGTCGCCTCACTACAGCCGACACAATCGCAAAATCCAAACGGAGGAATGCAATTACCCATGGTGTAAGATTGCTATGGATTTAATACCGGATGTACTTTTATCGTTTATTTGGAAGGTCCAGTATTGCGTTTGGTCGATCTTTCGTTAGCCGCTTTGCTCGCGTTCCTGACCCTTGATGAGACTCGAGACGTCGCCTGACTGTACAGCAGCAAGTCTCTTCTGCATTCTTCGCTGAGAGTCTGCCAGTTCTTGCTGTGCTTCTGGATCGAGAGATGCTGTGAGCTTGGGTAGGAGGAAGACCATTCCCATACCGACGACGGCAAGGATCATCATAGGCCCACCCATGCCGATGAGGGAAGAGATGGTGAGAGGTGCTGCTTCGGTGTAGTAGTCGATCTGCTTTGTCGCGTGGAGGATGAGCGGGTGGAAGACAGGGTTGTTGCTGAGGATGCTGGTGAGTGATGTGCCGCTGTAGGATGCATCGCCACCGGAAGAGTTTACAAGTTAGTTGCTGAGCCAAGAAAGCAGAAAGGCGTCGGAGGAGCTCGACTTACGGAGTGAAAACACGAATCTGAGGAGCTTTTCCCAGAGAAGGGTCAAGGATATCGATGCGGTACTTCTCAAATGCGTGTGTACGAGAGACTATGTCAAGAGTGTAAGCACCTTGATCGAGGTTGCGGAAGATGAAGCTGCCGTCGACAGCAACAAGGGTGGATCGGTCGTGTTGCAGGCCGAATGCAGCTAGGTCCAAAGAGTTGTTGGAGCTGGTGGCAGGTGCAGTGAAGAAGCCGCTCTGCTCGTCGGCGGTGGCTGTTTGCTGTGGTGGAATAGCATGGAGAAGGACTCGAGTATTGGGGCCGAGATTGAGCAGGTGAATCAGCGCAGCGTTGGGCTGAATCTGCCCACGGAAGTCCTGTCCTGCGAAAGCGGTCGAGACTAAGGAGACCAGCGCCACCAGAGCGAAGGTGAGAGGACGATGTGCGATCATCATGGCGCCGAAAAGCCGTGTCCCGTGATGATGCGATGAGCGGGATTGTTGGTGGGGGAAGGTAGGGGAGCGGAGATGCGAGCCAGAGAGCAGCTCGTGCGTTTCTTCGCGTATTTTGGTTCGTGCACACTTCCTCGAATCGGTGTTGATTGGAAAATCGGGGATCAACACTTCTCGATGCCGATCTGCCCTTTTCTGAAGTGTGAGATCAGTTTGTTAAGAACAATTTGGAACAATTCGTAGTCCATCAGCGCTCCCATCCAAGGGGCGAAACACCATGAAGGGCTCGTTGAACAGGGTACATGTAGAGTACATTCGACAAATAAAACCCAATAAGCTATAGACAAACGCTATGTGCAAGTAGTGTAGTGTAGATGTGGCAACAAGGTATCGATGATTCCAGAACAAGTAAGGACAGATCGGTCTCAACCAAACGAGAGGCATGTGGAGAGAGGCGCTTGGTGGCATCTAGTAGATACCAGGAATGATGCGGCTGCGAACAAGCTTGCAGTACTTGTCCCAGTCCTTTCCGTACTTCTTCTGGCAAGCCTCATCGTCCCTGAGCTGACGGTGAACGAGCAAGAGGGCAAAGTAAGCAACATAGAAGTAAGGAATAGGAGTAGCAAAACCACAGGGGAGCGACCAAGCCCAAGCCATGATCCAGTCACCGAGGTAGTTGGGGTGTCGCGAACGACCCCACCAGCCGGAAGTGAGGAGCTTGCGACCGGAAGCGGTCGTCATGTACTTCAGGTTCTTAGGGTTGGTACCGTTGCGGAACTGGTTCTTCTCGGAGTTGGCCTCACGGAAGATGTAATATCCAATCAGGTTGACGCCGATGATAGCAGCAGTGCCGGCAACGCCAAGGTGGACAGGATGGAAAGCAAGGTAGCGAGCCTGCAAGCTGTAGACGAAGGGGACCCAGACAAGATCGCCGACAGAGAGCATGAACCCGAAACCATCGGTGGTGATGTCCATGGTGGAGAAGATGGCTGACTCCATGAAGAGAGCATCGGCGACATACCAGAGGTGGAAGGCGCAAACGAGGATCATGCTGTCGGTGACACGGCGGTGAAGCTGAATGTACTGGTGGCAGGCACAGCTGATGTCGAGGATAGCCCAGAGGATGAGGCCGGGACGAAGCTCGTTGAAGGACTTGATGTCAAAGCTGCCAATGCGAGGGTTGAGTTCGCGACCAATGAAGCAATCGTAGAGGATGTTACCCGAGTTGCCGCCAAGAGCAAGAAGCTTGCCCTCACCGAAAGAGACGAGGTAGCAATAGACAGCTTGAGCAAAGGAATTAAAGAGCGCGGCTGAGAGGAGTCCAGGCCAGTGCTGGTAGAAGATGGTGAAGGACTCGGGGCCCTTGTAGAAGATCCAAGCAGCAGAAGCAGCCATGGCTACGATGAAGGTGGCAAAGGCATTGAGCTTGTAGTAAAGGCGCTGACCGGTTCGAAGCTCGGTGCCCTGAAAGTGCTTGCCGGGAAGCACGATCCATGCGAGGACGGTGAATGCGTACCAAGCGGCATAGATGGCCCAGCCGGTGGTGTCAAAGAGACTGTCCTTGACACCTTGAAGGAGCAAAGACCGAATAGCATCGGGTTTGTCGATGGGAAGAGTTAGGGCACAACCCAACCTCTCGGAGCATGCAAAGTAGAGGTAGTAAGAGAAGAAAGGGACGGTGAGCGAGACGAAAGCAGCGCCGAATGGGCCAGCAAACTCGTAGTGTTTGGTCTTAGGGCCGAGCTGCTCCTTGGAGAGCGACTTGGAGCTCATGACGGACGACTTGCGACGACGAACAGGCGGAGATGCAGGGGAAGAGGAGTTGAGCGAGTTGAGCGAGTTGGATGATGAGGACCTCTTGGTAGGAGAATTACGCGAAGAGTTGGAGCGAGGAGCCGGTGTCGGTGAGTTATCGTTTGAATCGGCAGGGAAAGAGATTCGACGGCTTGCTTTGCGCGGTGTACGCGATTGAGCTCTGTGTAGCGCGCGGAGATGGAAGATGAGAGGAGCAAGGTGGCGAGGAAGGAAGAGAATACGGGTGAGAAGAATGTGGGGAAGGGATATGCAAACGATGTGTGGGTGGAGTTTTGTGCAACGTACCTTGTCGTGACCATGCTGGGCTGATCTATGGGCTGATGTATGAGGCTAACTCGCCGCCGATGGAATCGAGAGAAGGGGTCCAAGAATGGTATGATAATGTGTATGTGTGTGTGTGTTGTACTTTGCTAAGAAGACACGCTTTCCTTGTGCTGTGCTGTGCAATGCTGCAAATGTATGAGCGCGAATGAGCTGACTTTCGAGTTTCCCTTTCTGTCTGTGCGCTTTTGCTCTTCCGAATTCCGCGTTGCCAAATATAAAACACAACAGCCGATTCCTACAGTCTTTCTATCTTCGGCCCGAGGTGCTGTTGCGCCTATCTAGGAGGAGGAGGTGCTTGACTACTACGGCTGTCGTGGATGGTGGTGGTGGTGGTAGTAGTAGTAGTAGTGTGATAGAAAGGATGCCTAGACCTAATTCGGCGGATGTAAATTAAGAGGCGGGAGCGGATGGATGGATGGACGGATGGACAGATCGGTAGCCCGATCTCAGCCGATATGCATTTTGAGAGCTGTCAGATCTGAAAACGAAAAGAGAACGAACGCACCAACATTCCTCTTACGTCAGCAGAACCCTTTTGCGGAACTCAAAAAATGGCACCAGCGCGTTGGCAGCAGAATCGGCGATCTGATACTCACTTTTCCCGATCGGCCAGATTTTGACCTTCGACGTTTCAGGGTCCTGCATAAAGTTGCTCGGAGTGCACACAACCTTCTCCTCTGTGATCAGAGCAACACCCTATCAAACCATCACCACCAACTTGTCATGTCATCAGTCACACTACGCCCGTCGTCCCTCTCGCAGAACTGAGGCAGCATGGTCGAGAACAATGATATTGGCGATGTCAACCTCCTCGAGTGGTCTCACGAACTCGATCGAGCGCTTCTCCAACTCCCCTTCAAACCCTTACAGTCAACAACGGACGATGGTCGTGCGCTCTTCCTCTATAAGCTTGCCTACTCTACCAAACACAAAGAAGCTGGGCTCCTCCTTCTCGACTGCGATGCCTGTACCGCCTTCTATGAGGGTGTCTCGTTGAGGACGCTCCATCGACGCACCCGGCTGGGTACGGCGTTGAATGGATCAGACGATGCCAGTCATCTCTATGCCATTGTCACCGTCATCCATCGTTCGATCAACGCGCAGAAAGAACTTGACGCCTCGCTCCGAACGACCATCGCCCTTGAATCAACTCGCTTCTCATCATCGCTGTCCATCAGCGTCAAATCCAGGCACGATGTCTTGGAGAACAACTTCAAGTGCTCCTTTGATCTCGACCCGCTTGATCATGCATCCTTATCCAACATGCTCTCATCTCATTTCGTCCGCCCGCTACTAGGCCTTGCTGCAGTTTTGGCACGCTCAGCTTCCATGGCACAGCTAGATAGCATACAACAGATCAAGTCTAACTCATCAGACAAGCAGAGCACCAGCTCTGATTCGCTCGAGCTTATTCGTCGTTCTGCGCTGTCCCATGCGGGACTGCCTGTAAAACTCCTTCATCCCCTCTCAAGTGGAACAAGCGGCGGGAGCACCTCTCGCGGTGAAGGCTTTACCTCTTCCGCAAAAACAAAACATATGCCTTTGCCGGGTACCAGATCATCTACCTTTAATGATGATGCTTGCAACGACGACCATCTCGATGACGACACGCACTTGCTGCTCTTCGGCCCACCCGGGTGTCGACTACCTGACACCAGTCCAATTGCGCGTGGAGCTTCAGCAAAGATCAAGCAAGAGGTCCCCTCTTCCTCTCCAATGTATCCACCCAGCTCTGACAACGATGATGATGCCGACATAACCCTCACAGCCCCTCCAGCTAGCGCAGATAATCGCGATTCGCACACCAAGACCGATTCCATACACACTCGGAAGACACCTGCTAACATCGCCTCAACCAAGCCCGAAGAAGAAGAAGAACAAGACTCTGACACCAGGAGCGAAGAAGAAAGCCTTAGGGTTAGGGTTAGGGTTAGGGTTAGGGTTAGGGTTAGGGTTAGGGTTAGGGGTTAGGGTTAGGGTTAGGGTTAGGGTTAGGGTTAGGGTTAGGGTTAGGGTTAGGGTTAGGGTTAGGGTTAGGGTTAGGGTTAGGGTTAGGGTTAGGGTTAGGGTTAGGGTTAGGGTTAGGGTTAG